TCAGTTAAGCACCTGACTTCATCTCAGGTCATGATCTCACGGTTCATGAGTCCAAGTCCCTCATCGGGCTCTCTGTCATTAGCACGGAGCCTGCTTCAGACCTTCTGTCCCTCCCACCCTCTCTCTCTACCCCTCCTTTGCTTGTTCTCTTTTCTCTCTCAAAAATAAATAAATAAACTTTAAAATTTTTTTTAAAAAATAAGGGAATGATCATCCCCCCACATTTAGGTAGAGTGAAGTGATGGAGTCAGGGGTGCTGGAGATGTCCTTTTCCTTTCCCCTCTCTGGTGGTTACGTACATGTTTACTGTGTAATTATTCTTTAAAATGCACACAAATGTTTCATATACTCTTCTCTGTTTGATATCCCACAATTTTTAAAATGACAATAAACTGCCTAATCTTATAGAGATTTCTTTCATTTGGAAGTTTCTCAGGTTTTGTTCCTTGTGGCAAAGGATCTTGATAGACAATATCCCTTTTTTGATACAGGTCTCTTTCCTTAGATAAGAATGTAATACAATCAGTTCCACAGCCCTTATATTGCAATTCACAGGAGATATTTCTAAAGGAGGCAATAAAGAAGAAGGAACAAATTAACATGAACTAAAGGCTTAGCTTTCAGGGCAGACCCAGTTTGGGACAGAGGGTAGGCACCCAGTGGAAGCTTGCTGCTGACTAAATAGGCAATGACAGCTGCTGCGGAGGTTGACTCAGACAGGGAGTATTTCTCAATCTTGTTTTAGGAAGAGTTCTTTACAATAGGCCACCTGGTAGATAAGATGTTGTGAAATTTAGGGGTTCCCAGATGTTTTCCAGCCAGAGCCACTTGTGGGGACATTGTGGAGACATTTGTCTACAAATGTAGGCACTTGTATATAATTCTGTTTGCAGATGATCCCTCAGGACTTGCTTCTTTAATCAGTTTGTAGAACATTGATATATCTATCCATGGCTCTGGATGGAGCAAAGAGATCATGCCTAATCTTATTAGGCTCTGTAAATGGTATCATCTTGCTTAACTCAACACAGTGTAGAGTCATCTCTTAGAACAATATGGTTGTCTTGCAGCAAATATTATTAGTAGATGCTGTGTCTGAATCTCTTCTAAGCTTAAGCCTTTAGTGCAGCATAGAACCAGGGTGATTATAAAAAATCATTTATAATCTCTCATTTAGTGAGCCAGCAAATATATACAGTTGACCCTTGGACAACACAGATATGAACTGCAAGGTCCACTTATGCACAGATTTTTTTTTTCAATACAGTACAATACTGTAAATATATTTTCTCTTCCTTATGATTTTCTCGACATTTTCTTTTCTCTATTTTATTGTAAGATACAGTAAATAATATATATAACATATAAAATATGTATTAATCAACTGTTTATGTTATCACGAATATTTCCAGTCAACAATGGGCTATTCGTACTTAAGTTTTAGGAGAGCCAAAAGTTATACATGGATTTTCGACTGTGGCAGGTGGGGGTGGGGGTGTCAGTTCTTCAGAGCCCCAATTGTTCAAGGATCAACTGTACACACCGAGTGTAGAAATGCTTCTTGAGCCCGTGATGGGGCCTGTTTGGGGCTAGGCTCCAAGAAGTAATGTGTCCCACCAAACAGTGGTGATCATGTTCCCACCATGAAATAACATGTGTCTGATCCCCCTATGTTTATTCAGAGTGGTCTCAGGTATCAACAGTTGCCAAGCTCCTGAATGAGATAAAAAATGTTAGGGGTCACTAAGAACATCTGCATCTTTTCTGCTCACAAGGGCACATGGGCTTAAAAGGAAACAAAACAAAACAAAACTGGCTCAGTAGTAAGGATACCAGGTGGCCAGTTTGAACCACACTATCCAGACAGGTTCAGCCCACTTACTTTAGTTCTGCCATTGACTGTATGACCTTGGTCTAGTAATGTAACTACTCCAGCCTTCGATTTCTCACTTGTACGGTGAGTGATATGTTTCCTGGGTATCCTACAATGTTGTACAAATAAACTGAAGAGAAAGATATAAAACTTCCTGTTGACCATAAAGCCCTACACCATTGTAAGGGTTCTTTTTAATCTTTTCTAACTACACAGTTAACAGTTATTATTCATCACAAAAAACATCCAAAGATTAAAAACACATGAGGTTTTTGTTTGTTTGTTCTGGGGTGGGTGGGTTGTTTGTTTGGTTTGGTTTCATTTATTTATTTTGTTTAATTTTAGAGAAAGAGAGAGAGCAGGGGAGAGGGGTTAAGGGGGAGAGAAAGAGAGAGACAGAGAGAGAGAGAATCCCAAGCAGGCTCCACACTCAGCATGGAGTCCGATCCGTGATCCTGGAATCATGACCCGAGCCAAAATCAAGAGTCAGACACTCAGCTGACTAAGCCACCCAGGTGCCCCCAAAACACATAAGACTTAAAGAAAAAATCCTCTGCATCATTACTAGTCTTTAGAATTGACCAAATTTGACAATTTGGTGCTTATCTTTATATAGTTTATGAATGCATGTGTATATATTTATGCTTTAACAAAAAAGGAATCATAACTCTTTCCTAATTCTAAAAATTCTAATCAGTAGAATTTTTTTATGAGGGAAATTGTTATATATGGACATGGAACAATGATATTTTATGTGAAAAAGTTGCAGAAACACATCTATAGTACAATAATATTTGTGTAGACACAGAGTATATGACTTGCTCTGGTAAAAGTATATTGCAAAGGAATGAGGTAAGTGTACGTTTTACTTCACACAGTTCTCTATCATTATCATTTTTCCTTAAGCATACATACTTGAACAATAATTAATAAAGAATGTGCAAGAGAAAGTGGGTCATAAGTCAACAAAATGGAGACAATATATTATAAAAGATGCAAGTACCCATGTTAGACCAAAAGAAGGAAAAAGCATTGCAAGAGAAGAATATACAAAAGAAATGGGAAAATGAAATAAACAAAGCAAATGTAAGGGTGATATGATTTTCTTTTTTAATGTTTTTTTTTTTTTTTTTTTTTTTTATTTCTAGGAGAGAGAGAGAGACAGCGTGAGCAGGGGAGGGTCAGAGAGAGAGGGAGTCACAGACTGAAACAGGCTCCAGGCTCTGAGCTGGCAGTCAGCACAGAGCCCGACGCGGGGCTCGAACCCACAAACCGCGAGATCATGACCCAAGCGAAAGTCGGATGCTTAACCGACTAAGCCACCCAGGCGCCCCAAGGGTGATATGATTTTCAAAATTATTCATTAGGGAATAAAAACAAGAACGATCATGTAGTTTCTGCCGCTGACTTTCTTATAATACAGACTGAGCAACAGGATATTCAGCTCTGCTGACTAGTTCCTTTAAATGATCCTGTGCAACACAGGACAAATAGAAGCCAACATAGAGATCTGTCCAGAGAGGAAGAAGGGCTAAATATGCTCAGTGCTCAGTTCCTTTACAGTTTACAGTTTTCATATTTTGTTTTTTTATTTTTTTATTTTTTTCTAATATTTTTTATTTATTACTAGGAGAGAGAGAGAGAGAGACAGCGTGAGCAGGGGAAGGTCAGAGAGAGAGGGAGATACAGACTCCGAAATAGGCTCCAGGCCCTGAGCTGGCAGTCAGCACAGAGCCCGACGTGGGGCTCGAACCCACGAACCGCGAGATCATGACCTAAGCGAAAGTCGGACACTTAACCGACTAAGCCACCCAGGCGCCCCGTTATTTTGTTTTTTTAAATGCACAAAACAACCATAAATTTGGGAGATGTGCAGGAATGACAAGCTAACGTCCCCCCATATTGTTAAGCAACAAAATTTAGTCTAGGGATGCCTGGGTGGCTCAGCTAAGCATCCGACTCTTGATTTCAGCTCAGGTCATGATCTAACAGTTCGTGAGTTTGAGCCCTGTGTCGTGCAGAGCATGCTTGAGATCATCTCTTTCTCCCTCTCTCTCTGCCACTCCCCCACCCTCATTTTCTGTCTCTCTCCCCTCTCTCAAAAACAAACTTAAAAAATTTTTTTTTGTGGGGCACCTTGGTGGCTCAGTTAGTTAAGCGTCTGACTTCGGCTCAGGTCATGGTCTCCTGGCTTGTGGGTTTGAGCCTTGCATTGGGGTCTGTGCTGACCGTTCAGAGCCTGGAGCCTGCTTCAGATTCTGTGTCTCCCCCTCTCTCTCTGCCCCTCCCCCGCTCATGCTCTGTCTGTCTCTCAAAAATAAACATTAAAAAAAAAATAGTTTTGTCTACATATACTGTTGTTCTCAATAAATGTTTGCATCCTCTCCATCAACAAATATCCTGTCATGTCTATGTTCAAGATTTACCTTGAATGTATCCACTTTTTCTATCTTTATCATCATCAACCCATTTCATATTCACTCCCATCTATGTTCACTGCAGTGTCCTCTTGAGTCTGTTTCCATGTTGGCTCTGTCCCTTCCCCCATGCCACTCCTTTTTCCACAAGAAAATCAGAACAGTCCTCCTAAAATGCTCATGGGATGAAAACCAAAATCCTTCCCATGACTCCAAGGACCTGTGCGAACTGTCCCTTGCTCATTTTTTCCAGTCACCGCTAAGGCTTCCAGCTGTGCTCAGATCTGTCTCACCTCAGTCTTTGTCCTGCTGTTCCGCAAACTGAAATGCTCTTCTGTTCCTCAGGTTTCAGTTTCTAACAGATTTCCCCAGCCCCCTCCCATACTCTAAATCAGGCCACAACGGGTATTTCTGTTTGTTTGCCTGGAATGGGTTTTATCTGACCTCCCTACTCTGTCAAAGCTTATAATAACTATACCAGGGTTTATAACACAATCTTCTCTACTTTTGTGCATATCTGAAATTTACCAAAATAAACAGTTTTAAAATGTGCCCTCTGACCCTACAAACAAACCAACAGTTAGGCTTGCAATTATCCTGGTTTTTCATTCTTTGTATTTTGAAAAAATTGACTTTCCTATTCATGATAATTTTGTTTGCTTGTTTAGTAGCTACATTAGAGCCATAAGATGTCATATTTTAAAGTTCGAAACAATTTATTATCTGCAAGAAAGTGAATTTGAAATTAACATCAGATAACCTAAAAGAAAGGTCACAAGTTCAATCATTCTTTCGCTGTTTTGCTACTATAGCCTTTTACCTGACAACATTATTATTCATTGAAAAGGACCCTGAACTAGGGATATAAGACTTCTGATCTAGCTCCAGTTTGTCACTTTGACAAAATCATTTGACTTTGCTTCCTTTTTTAAAAATGAATATAATAAATAAAGTTCTCAATTTTTTTATTTAAAATTATTTCCACAATTTGAAAAATCGACAAAAAAAACCAGTCCTAAACAATTTTTTAAAAAGGAAGCGATAACTCAAGAGAACTTTCCTTGTAGCCGTTAATAAGGTCATAACTCAGCAGTAGTGTGCATACCAGGTGTGTCTACAAAGCCGAGAATGGGAATCACTGCATCTCCTTCTTTGGATCTGATGCTCTGACTCTTCTCCTTTCTATTAACATATTTGTGCAACATGCTATAGTACTGCTCCTTTGGATTGAAAGTATATAGTGATGAAATTTGCTGCCAGTCTCTAATGCTTGGGGTGCTGTATTGCTTCGGATGTGAGCACTCAAAGAAACATTTCACATTCTCTTTGGCCAATTCTGTCGCATGCTCTGTGGCTTGATTTTTAAGGACCTGCTGCTCCTGTTCCATATAGATTTTCCAAAATTTCAGCTGCAGAAAACTAACTGGAGAAAGGCATCGGATGACAGAGGTAAAAATCAGATGGAGGATGATAACAACTGCTATCAGGATCCAGCCCAGCACCTGAGGAAAAGACAAAGAAACAGAGATTTGGTGGCATTTTTTAATTTAAAAAAATTCAGAATCCTTACATAAAGTATGAACTACTCACAGTTATGCTGATGTACAAGCAACAGTTTTAGGTCTTAGTCTCTTAAGAGAAAGAAGAGGTGGTAACCTCCCAACCGCCTCAGTACAACCGCTTGACAGGTCATTTTCCAAGTCCCGCCGAGGGCCCAGGGAAAAGCCTCTATGTCACGCGGCTAGAATCGAAACCGTGGAATTTCGGCAAATCCAATGAAACCAGCATTCATTTTCAAGACTCCCTGAGCTTTATATGCCCCGAAGCGGTGCGGGGCAGTGGCCTTAGAGCCGGGAAGACTCATTTTATTGTAACAAGTCTGCCTTCCTCCGGCCGCACAAACACCTTGACCTGGACTTGGTGTTTTGGCTAAAAAGAGAATAATGTAGGGTAGGAGCTAAAGGGCCTGGCGCGGTATCCGGCACAGAGCAGGCGCCTTCCCTACTTTTGGTTCGTTGTACTGAAATAGTTGCCGTTCCAGTTTGTCTTCCGGGGTCGCGTGTCGGGGGCGAGGGCGCCAGCTCGCACCTCCGCCGGCCCCTCTCCCTTCCTCCCAGCCGCGTCCAGCGCGCGCCCCTGACCTGAGACTGGGCCTTGAGCTCCTTCAGGAGGTCCTGCGCGTCGGGCGCCCGGGCCTGGTGGCAGGGCGCCAGCGGCAGCTGGGACTCGCAGGTGGCGTCGCGGCCGCGGCACAGGAGCCGCGCCAGGGGGGCGCTCCCGCTGGCCGCGCACTCGTAGAAGGCGCCGCCGAGCAGCGCCACGGCCACCCAGGTGAGCGGCGCGACGGCGGCGGCGGCGCTGAGCTGCACGCACACCAGCGCGCCCCGCGGCCCCGCGCGGCCGCCGCGCGCGCAGCAGCCGGTCAGCAGGCGCCAGGTGCGCGCGCTCAGCACGTAGCCCAGCAGGAAGAGCGCGAGCGCGGGCACCAGCAGGAAGACCAGGCCGTACGGCAGGTTCCAGGCGGCGCTGCAGGGGCACTGGAACACGGCGACGGAAAACAGGCGCTCGCCGCCCGCCGTCAGCAGGGTCACCAGGCCGTAGCCCAGCGCGCTGGAATGCTTCAGGTGTAGGTCCAGCACGGCCCGAAACTTATCCATGGGCCTCGTACCCCAGGGCGCCGTGGACGGGCCGGACGCTTCTGCCTCTGCCCTGGCCTGCGCTCGCTGTGGTTTGGGTGGGCCGAGGGCTAGGGCTTACCATTCTGCGTGCGAAGCAACAGCTTCCGGACAGGGGAAGAGGGCTCTCGGGCCTCCGTGAGCTTTCACTTTCTTATTTCAGGCAGACGAGCTCTGGCCAACACACACCTTTGAGGCCCGCGGGTCTCTCGGTGACTTTGCTCTCACAGTTCAGGAACCTGGCTGAGGACAGACCCCGTTCCATTGTTACCTTCGTTTCCATCCAACTTACAAGAAACTAGGGGGCTTTCCTTACGCATCCTGATTCGATGCAGCTACCCAGTGAAAAGGATACATTTTACTTGGGCAAGCAGGAAAACACTCGATTCTCCCTTGTTGTAACCACCCTAGTTCCCAAGCCAACTCCGAGTCAGGACAAATGATTACCAAAAAAACTGGTCATTTACAGGAAACATTACTCAAGGACAAATTTCTAGTTTCTCGTTCATAAGCTAAATCGCAGCAAAGCCCGGCTCAAGTTCTAGTACCTCCGTGATCTTCTGTTCCCCTCTTGTCCTACTTCTGGACAGAATCACCAGCCTAATTCACACTGACTTCTCTGGTCTCCCACAGGTCATTAGACTGAATAGATTGTATTGACTTCTGCCTCCTTTATTACCCCAGGTATGTCCTAACACTGTCAGTACCTGGAAAAATGTCCAATTTTTACTCAGTGACCACCAAGTTGATCAGAGGTGAGTGGTGAGGCAGGGGAGAGACATGGTTATTCGAAAAACACTGATTGAACCCCCAAAATCCCAACTGCAGCTGTATCTAACTAACGTGTTGTTTCCTCCACCTTCACGTTACTCAAAAAGCATCATCGCTCTGACTCTAACCATTTCGGCGAAATGGAGCCATTTTGGTGTGTGGCTCCAGAGTGAGGTGAGATGTACTTGAAAGAACATAGGCTCTGGAGTCAGGTGCATTGTGTCTGCGTGTGTATTTAATAAGTTCGCCCCTCTGAGTCCCTGCATTCCCATTTGTAAAAGCAGAATAGTCCTGCTTTTCAAGATTGTTGAGACAAGTAAATCGAGTACCATATGTAAAACACCTTTATATATAAGGTGTGCCCGTTAAATGAATGTTTAATGTGAGGGGTTACCTTTTACATCGCAATGCTGGGAAGAGACAACAAATAACTGTGTTGTACATAATTTAAGAATGTGTATTAATGCTCAGTTTTAGACCAAGAGTTATATTCAGTGAGTCAATGATCCTCTCCTGCCTGAAGAGAATTGGTGTGCCCTTCGTGGTCCAGCACGAGGTCCTCACTACAAGGAGGGTATCTGGTTATGGAGTCTGGGTGGGCAGGTCACAGTGAACTGGTTACTGTTAGCACCCATCCATCAGGTATGCCTTATTTACCTGGGAAGAGTAAGTAGGCTAAAGAACCATGTGGCTTGTTAGAGAATGGGAAAGAAATGTATTATTCTTTTCTTAGTCCAACTTGCCTTCTTAGCAACCTCCCAGTACCAGTGCCTGGCACAAAATCACCATTCCTTAGCATTTTGATGAAAAGCTATTCTCTCTATGTGAGTCTTAAGAAGATGTCCACAGATCAGAGCCTAAATTGCCATGCAGGACAGTTGAGGACCATTTCTCTGTCCCTGTAAACTTGCAGCAAAAGTCTGTATTTGAGGCACGTCACTTCTACTATAACTATCATCTCTTTATTTCTGTATCTCAAAAATTTTTTTCTCCTGTTTTCCCTCAGGTGGTTCTGCCCTCTTATTGTTAGATTCTTCTTCACTCCCACCACACATCTCCTAAAGATGTTGCCTTCCCCCTCCACACTTTCCACATTTCACCGTGAACAAATCCCTTTATATCTACAACCTTTATGCTGATGGCTTTATCCAAATCTCCCTTAACTGTAACCAAACTAAAATGTGCCCCTCTGTCCTCTTGAGTGAGGTTTATTTTATTCTTGCACATTTCTCAAAACAAGAAGGAGGAGGATTAGCTGCCATTCTCCCATTACAATGTCCATCTTCTAGTAGTTTATTCTCCACTAAGACTCAATCTACTCACACAACTTCTTCTCTCACTTCACTCTTGCCATCCATGCTCATTCGCTGCATTTATCAAGACTTTTGCATCTGGTGACAGCTTTCCTCTTCTTCCTAGCTCCTGTTATTTATTCAAGGATTTGGTTCAAATATTTTTAGTTATGGGAACTTTCATTTTGTTGGTCCCCTATCTGACTAGAGTAATTCGTTTGTTAACAGTTTATTAGTTCATTTGTTCATTCAATCATTCATCTAAAATATTTAATACCCCCTCAGGATATGATAGGAACTTATAAGAGTGCCTGGTATTATAAGGAATAACACAAATAGATACCCTCCTTTCATTGAACTTGAATGGGTACAACAAGGAATAACACAAATAGATACCCTCCTTTCATTGAGCTTATATTAGTGAGGAGATCGATAGGGGAGGCAACTCTCAAGGTTTTGCAAATAATTAAAATAGAATCATATAGTAGAGAGTTTCCTGAAAAAGCCATTGCAAGGGGAAGACATTTAAGGATAAATCTGAATGACCAAAGCTCTGGAGTTCAAGGGATCTTGGAATTCTGTGGTTAGAAAGAAAGCCAGAGTGATGGGACATTAAAGGTGAGAAGGCAGTTGGCACATTTTGAGGGCAGAGCTGCAGGTGATTGGTTGGGTTTAGGGGCTTTATAGACCACAGTATGTGGTTTAGAATCCTGCCCCTGAAACTCATTACAGACTGAGCTGCTTCCTGGCCTGTTATCCGGTCAGCTTATGTCTCCAAACACTACCTCCTGGGGTTGCCACCACCGTGCTCCCCAGCTTATTACAGGTTACCATTACTGTGAGAGTCTGGGTTCTGTCTGCCAGTCTGAATTTTCTTCCAGCACCAGCAGATGAGTATCTGTCCTGCTGGTGATATCCCTGACATCTATCCCTGCCATCTCTAGAGCAGTGGGTGGTTCTAGTTCTGAGTCTAGTGAGTTCTGAGTCTGAAGATTACCCAGCCCTTTATACCCAGTTCTGTTTGGAGAAGAAATTGCTGAGAGTTCAGCGCTTAGTGGAAATAGAGTAACATACTAATGGTGTGGAGAGGATTCAAGAATTTTCTCTTGAGAGTACACTAAATAATATTTGAGAGACCTTTACACTTTTGAAAATCTATAATTTAACACCAATTTACTTTAGCTTTTAAAAAATGCGTGAGAGATTCTCATGGTAAGCACATTGGAAAACCAATGGTTATGGGTTTGGTTTTGTTTTAACCATAGTACTTTGTTTCTCAGCACTATCATTACCACTGTCAGAATGGGTTTCAGAAACCACAAAAAGAAAATGTCATGGAAAAGAAAAGAAAAGAAACTCTTGAAAGAATTTCACACTGTGAATCTAAAAGTTCCTTCCAGAACATACTTAAACATCATAAAAGCCATATATCAAAAGCCCACACTAATATCATCCTCAATGGGGAAAAATTGAGACCTCTCCCCCTGAGATCAGGAACTCGACAGGGATGTCCACTCTCACCACTGTTGTTTAACATAGTGTTGGAAGTCCTAGCATCAACAGACAACAAAATGAAATAAAAGGCATCAAAATGGAGGAAGAAGAAGTCAAACTTTCATTTTGCATAGATTACATGATAATCTACATGGAAAACCCAAGAGACTCCACCAAAAGACTGCTAGAACTAATCCATGAATTCAGCAGAGTCCCAGGGTACAAAATCAATGTACGGAAGTCAGTTGTATTTTTATACACCAATAATGAAGCAGCAGAAAGAGAAATAAAGAAACTGATCCTATTCACAATTGCACCAAGAACCATAAAATACCTAGAAATAAACCTACCTAAAGATGTAAAAGATCTGTGTGCTGAAAACTATAAAAAGCTTATGAAAGAAATTGAAGATGCAAAGAAATGGAAAAACATTCCATGCTCACAGATCAGAAGAATAAATATTATTAAAATGTCAATACTACCCAAAGCAATCTGCACATTCAATGCAATCCCAATACAAATTATACCATCATTCTTCTCAAAGCTAGAACAACAATCCTAAAATTTGTATGGAACCACAAAAGACTCCGAATAGGCAAAGTAATACTGAAGAAGAAAACCAAAGTGGGAGGCATCACACTCCCAGACTTTAGCCTCTACTCCAAAGCTGTAATCATCAACACAGTATGGTATTGACACAAAACCAGACACACAGACCAATGGAAGAGAATAGAGAACCCAGAATTGGACCCATAAATGTATGACCAACTAATCTTTGACAAAGCAGGGAAGGGCATCCAATGGAAAAAAGACAGTCTCTTTAGCAAATGGTGCTGGGAGAACTGGACCTCAACATGTAGAAGAATGAAACTAGACCACTCTCTTACACTGTACACAAAAACAAACTCAAAATGGATGAAAGACCTAAATGTGAGACAGGAAACCATCAGAACCCAAGAGGAGAAAGCAGGCAACAGCCTCTTTGACGTCAACTGTAGCAATTTCTTAGTCAACACATCTCCAAAGGCAAGGGAATTGAAAGCAAAAATGAACTATTGGGACCTCATCAAGATAAAAAACCTTCTGCACTGCAAAGGAAACAATCAACAAAACTAAAAGTCAACCGACGGAATGGGAAAAGATATTTGCAAATGACACATTGGATAAAGTACTAGTATCCAAAATCTATAAAGAACTCACCAAGCTCCACACACACCCCTCAAAAATAATCCAGTGATGAAATAGGCAGAAGACTTGAACAGACACTTTTCCAAAAAAGACATCCAGATGGCCAACAGACACATGAAACGATGCTCAACGTCCCTCATCATCAGGGAAATACAAATCAAAGCCACACTGAGATATCACCTCATACCAGTCAGAGTGGCTAAAATGAACAAATCAGGAAAATATAGATGCTGGTGAAGATGTAGAGAAATGGGAACCCTCTTACACTGTTGGTGGGAATCCAAACTAGTGCAGCTGCTCTGGGAAACAGTGTGGAGGTTCCTCAAAA